ACTCCTCAATATGCTACTTAGAACCTTCAGAATACACCCTGTATCGAGTATGGGTCCTCTGCTTTTGGTAGTATGGGCCCATACTACCTGCCACATCTACCCATACTTTCCACACGGACCATCCCAGAGCTCCTAAGTAGCTGCTCAACCTTCTCGTTCACCAATTCCGCCACGCGTGCTCGCTCCTCAGCGAAATGCTCTACTCCACCAGTGTACTCATCTGGCTAAGGTCACTCCCATTTCTCCACCGTCAGGTACTGAAGAGATCCTAATGATGCCAGTCATCTAACGCCTGAATATCGTCATATTCACTTGCTAGCTGACTCCCATCATCGAGAGTTCCACAAAGCACGAAGCAAGCAGCATTCAGGCATCGAAGAATACATAGAGCTCGCTCTGGATGATAACTCCGCTTGCTCTGCTCATTCTCAAGGTACCACCGAACTCTACAGCTCTACCCCTCGCGGGTTCTAACTATTCTTCGATAAACACCACAATACTCATCTAGGCGTCTCTTCTAGATTACTCATCTACTCAAATCCCCTAAAAGGATTCCAACTGAATACTCTCACTCATACTCAAAAACACATCACATATAACAGCAACTCCTAGATTAAGGCATCACAAATCAGGCCACTTTAGTCCTAAGATATGAAATATATAGCCTGTCTCTAGCATGCATAATATCTTATAAATGTATCATAAATATCTCATAACACAAAAGTAAGGGTATTTTGGGAAATCACCGTTCGGGCTCTAGCTGATTGTACACACTACTCTTTCTCGCTTTCTCTTTGAACTCTTGTTCATCTTTTACAAAATCATTTCTTGAAAACTTTTCTTACTTCCTCACTTTGAGTCCAGATTTACCCGAAGGTGTATCCGAATCCCTAATACCAAGGCTCTGATACCAACTTGTAACACCGTAACTTTTCAAACAATTTTTTTTTAAATTAAAAATAGTTTATCTCTTTAACACTTTCCATAAAAATCCCATTTGTTAAGTTGCGATACATAACTCTTTTGTTCAATCAATTAATAAACCAGGATCTTCAAAACAAACGCTTCACCTGGTGTGTACAATCGAGTCGGTGCCGTCCCGTGAACCTGAGAAACTTGAAACACATAACACAAAACACTGTAAGCACGATGCTTAGTGACTTCCCCAAAATACCACTCTAGCACATATTAGCCATTCAAGGCTACAACTCTATTGACCCTCTGGTCTGTGTGTCTAAGTGGGACCCTCCAGTCCCAACTCTCTGTGGACCCTATGGTCCTAACTCTATGGACCCAAGGGTCCTAACTCTGATAAATCAGAAGCATGCATATCACATATCACAATAAATATCTGAAAATAAATAGCATATAATTACACTGGCACATATCTCTAAACCTAACTCTGTTGATCCTTTGGTCCTAGCTCTGTGAACCTTCCGGTCCTAACTCTGATATACACACAACATAAATCACATAGAAATAATGCAGTGCCACACATAGCATAGATAGCATACAATAACTCTGTCACATGACTCTAATTACCACTCAAAGTAAACTATAGTGAGAATACTCACCTGCTACTGCTGACTGAAGAGTAAGATCACGCTACTCCGACCACCATCACGAACTCCACCACTGAATCACCGAAACCAATAAATACCAATAACAACCAAAATACCCTTGGAAGTCAACTGGTCAACTCTTGCTCAAAGTCAAAGTCCTCAGTCAAAGCCAACCCTCCTGATTGACTCTACTCGCCGAGTCAACCAATTGACTTGTCGAGTCCTCATTCTCTGAAACTCCCATAACACGACTCAACTCGCCAAGTCGCCCCAAGACTCGCCAAGTCCCACAACTCTGAGTCAAACCGTACTCAACTCACTGAGTCATCCCTTAACTCACCGATTCTCCACTTAATCAGAAATGGTTAGGACCTCAAGACCAGACTCACTCCAAGAACAGACTCGCCGAGTCCAAAGCTATCTTCAACTAACTCACCGAGTTGTTCTTCCAACTCGTCGAGCTTCTTCCTATCTTCATGCAACTCGCCGAGTACACCCATGTGACTCGCCGAGTACCACTAGCTCTTAACCCATACAGAGGCTTTCCAAGTCATGCAGGGTCTCCAATCCATACATCTACTCTTATACAAGCCATCCATCACGTAAAGTGGCAAACTTTACGTGAATCCAAGGAGATCAAAGCATAATACACTCATGCGCTAAGGTTTGGGGCTAAAAGACTTCATCAACAGCACTTGAACAGGGACTTTATGCTTTTTTGGATCATCACTATTCTAGATCTGAGGTAGCAACCTCAAATTTAATCTCCAAACTCAAGATAGCACTAGATATACACCCAAAAATCCCACAAATGATAGGTCTAGATGGATAATAGCTCAAACAACGAATCATTACCTCAAAAGAAGGCTCCAACAGAAGAATAAGTCAAAAACCTTGAAAAGCCCCTTGCTCCAAGACTCTTAATCTTCAAATATCTCTTCAACAAACACCCCTTCAAGATCCAAATGTTCTCTAATTCTCCCACAATGATTATTAGGGTTTCTGGACTTCAAGGGAGAGCAAAGAGGCTAGGGAGAGGGTATCATGTTCTTTATATAGGGCCAAATCCCTGGGATTAGGGTTTTCTCCCCACAGTACCAACTCATCGAGTCCAACCACCGACTCACCAAGTTAGCCATTAGACACGCGACCAGAATCGCGACCCTACTCGCTGAGTCTCCCCATGGAATCGCCGAGTTGACCATTCACATTTTCACTTTGAACCCTGAACTTTGCACCCCTGAACTCGGGATGTTACACAAAGCATATCCCACACACAAAACACATACACATAACTAATTAGCCATAAGCTACATATATCACATAAGCCATGCATACATAAAATCCCTAAGAATGTCATGGGCTACCACGCATGGTCTTTAACCTAGGACTGCCATGGGCTTTCCCACATGGTCTTACATCCGATGACATGGGCTACCCTACATGGTCTTTACCTAGGACTGCCATGGGCTACCCCCACATCGTCTTACATCTAATATCATCGGCTACCCCACATGGTCTTTACCTAAGACTGCCATGGGCTTCCTCACATGGTCTTACATCTAATGCTTCGGGCTCCCCCCGGTGTCTTTTATGCAAAACACACAATCACATATCATATCAAATCACAGAATGACTAATGCATAAATCAAGATTACATCATGGTCAGCCTTGGTGACTTAGACCCATAGATATAGTGAGAAGACTCACCTTTGGAATGCTAGACTAGTATGCTGAATTCGGATATATCCCACTTTTCTCAACTACCTATAACCAGCAAGTGATTCACTTAACACCATCCCATAAATTCCCTTAGAGTCAACCCTGGAAAAAGTCAAAGTCAAGGTCAACAATCAATGTTGACCTCAACTCGTCGAGTGGAACCTGCCACTCGTCGAGTTCCTGGCATCACTCACCGACTCGCCGAGTCACCTAAGAGACTCGTCGAGTTCCTTGATGTTTACGGCCGTAAACTTCCAACCGAACACCCTTGAGCGTGAACCTTCGACCGTAAACCCTTGGCCGTAAATGAGAAAACCCTCTCGACTCGTCGAGTTACCATAGCGACTCGACAAGTTCTCACGTATTCGGTCATTTCCAGTGGGATTTAAGTTTCAAACATCAAATCCATAATCTCCTAGTGAAGATGTCACGTAAAGTTGCAAACTTTACGTGCATGCAAGGCCTTATATGACCAAGACACCAAAACTAACCTTAAAACAAGTTTCTCATGCATGGAGAGGGGGATAAGCTAAATAAAAGGTGCAATTTTATGATATTTGGGACCTAAGGAGGTCCAGATCTGGAATCATATCCTTGTGATAGGTCCAGATCTAAGTTTGCTTCCATCTCCTCAAGGTTGACCGTAACTTCCAAAAAGAAATCAAGGATTAAGGTTGCAGATTAATACCTTAGACAAATGCCCAACACAAAATAGATGCTTGATCTAACACTTCTCCGTTGATACTTCCTCTTCAAACTTGGAATCCCCCCCCCCCCAAAAAAATCTCAAAGATAAGCTCCCAATTGTTCTTACTTCATACACTAGAAGGTTTGCGGCCGTGAACGTCCTTCTACGGTGTTAAGGGAGGCTACTAGGTCGTATTATGACGTTTATATAGGGGGCAAACCCCAAGACTAGGGTTTTCTTTAAACAGCTCTGACTCACCGAGTCAAGCCTTCAAACTCGCTGAGTCAATTCCGACCCGTCTCCAAGATGATACGACCATACTCGACGAGAAGATCTCCCAACTCCCCGCAGAGATTGAACTCTCGATTTCTGACCCCAAGTGGGTATTAAACCCAGTACCTCTTCCCAGTTAGGCTGGAAGTCATTGGTATTTACATTCCTTATATGTAGCAATATTATAATGTTGTACAATGTAATTTGTTTTCTTAGCCGTGATTACATTTATTTAAACATAATAGCAATGTGCCTTTATTTTCTTATCCATAATAACAACATTCTTATATTTCCTCACATTAATCATACCCAATTGAGAGCTATAGGACTACTCACAACATATTTTCCTCCGGACCACTTTAGCTGACCAAATCCGGTAGTCCCTGATTGCATGGAACTAGCTGTAAATGTCACATTATACACCTTTTTCTCACCTTGTTTTGTGAAAATTAGAACTTATGGGTAAACTTTGATCTTGACTGCCGCCATTTTCGATCTTACCGAAACCTTATAAGTCGTTGGGGATCCCACGTTTTTCAGAGTCCTAGTGTACTTAACGGTGGTAGGAACACCTTTGTCGGAACCCATTAGCAAAGGAACCGCAAAAGACGGGTAATTAAGATCTTCCACCCTGTATTTCTTTCTACATGTGAAACTTTCACCTCCAAACATTTTAATGGAATTTGAACTATAACTTAAAGCGAAAAGGAAGCCCAAGTACTCGTTAGGTGAGGCATCGTAGACGAGACCAGGGTTCATGGCTCGAACTGGGTCATAAGGGCTGATTTTATTGTCGTTGGGGTCCAGGTAGGATGAGCTGCTTTTAGTAAGGCGGCTAACCCACTTACGTGCGGACACGACATCAATGTCCCAGACACGATGTTGAATTTGACACGTCGTGTGTCTTCTGTTAAACCGGTTGGAACGGTAAAACCGGTCCAACCAGCTAGAATATCCATCCCTGGTGCGATGAAATCCGGTTTCAAGATTTTAGGGGTGATCGGGTTCGGGCCCCTGGAACTGAAAGCTGCGAGTACCGGTGACGGTTGGATGTGTAATTTTGTTACTCGAGATGTAATTGTGGCCGTTGGATTATCATTGGAGAGTATATAGCTTTTTATGGCTTCACCACCTCGGTAACCAATGGCGGCAGTTGGGATCAAATGGGCATCAGCCACGAGGTCCTCCCCAAAATTATCGGAGTTCACCATAATCATTCCAACACCACCGGCTTCCTTCACCACCATCCCCTTCTGTACCTACGAATTCCCACCATGTTCACACATCACAATTTTTCCGGCGACTCTCCCTGGTGGTAATGTACCCGGGAGACAGAAGTTTCCTATGGTGTTGCTGATATTTCCGGCGTAAACGATCGGAACCACTGATTTTGATAGTGGTTTTCAACTATAAAGCGACACTCCCCGAAATTTCTTCCTGTTTCCGAGAACAACATACGCTGGAAAATCACGGTCAATTCTTCCGGCACCAACCGTAGCTATCCATGGCACAACATTCGATAAACTAATCGGGTCAGGCCCGCTATTTCCAGCGGAACATGCTATAAATATCCCACGGGAAACCGCCTTGAATGCACCATAAGCCACCACGTCATTTGTGTAATTAGCAAGCGAGTCGCCAATCGAAAGTGATAAAACATGGACACGGTCCGCAATCACCTTTTCTATTGCCGCCAGTATATCGCTCCCGAAACAACCACCGAGCCAACACGCTTTATAAACCGCTAGCCTTGCATTCGGAGCCATCCCACGAGCCGTCCCTTTAGCGAACCCAAAAAGACTAGCTCCAGTCACAGTTGAACCGGCGGCTGTGGTCGCAGTGTGGGTCCCGTGTCCATCATCATCCATTGCAGACCGTGATTCTATTGTTTCATCAATCGGCCCGTATGTCGCTTCATATGCTCTTGAAAAGTACGTTGCCCCAATCAACTTCTTATTACAGTTGGATACACCAAAGCTTGTACCATTCTTACACTCGCCTTTCCACCATGAAGGAACCGGACCAAATCCGGTGTCGTCTAGACTCTTACTTGCGGGCCAGACACCAGTGTCCACCACCCCAATCACCACATCACTGCTGGAGTTCAACCCGGAGAACATAGTCTCCGTCCCTGGAAGTCCAAGAAACTCTGGCGAGCGGGTGGTATGAAGCTTATATATAATATAACCTTTTCTTTAACTGATAAAACACCGTGTTTTTCCTTGAGTAATTTCGCTTGTTCAACCGTGAGCCGGGTGGAGAACCCGTGGATGACGTTTTCATACGTATACAACATATCAGGCGACTCGGAAACCGATTCCATAGATGTTGCATACCAGTTCTGGTGGTCGGAATACTCTGGCGGCATCACCTCTTTGTCCATGTGAACAATGTATGTTTTCAGTTCCTGGTTGGTGTTTGCTGCCGTGTAGGGGTACTGGTAAACCACCACCATCACCGCCATCAGGAGGACGATCCTGGGGTTCATTTGGTATGAGAGTAAGTGAGGAATTATGGAATTAATTTAAGTGGTGTTGGCTGTTAATATATATATATATATATATATATATATATATATATATATATATATATATATATATATATATATATATATATATATATATATATATATCTTTACTATCTTATAAAAGAAATCTAACTATTTTCTAAAAATAGATTGATTATAATAATAATATTTTTTTACGACGTCCAAATGATGAAGCTGATAGTACAAGTAACCATTAATAAAATAATATTAAATTTTAACCACATTTTGAATTCAAATAATTATCATCAAATCTCCTTATATTTCTCAACAATTTGATATGGTTTCCTCAAATCCCGGATTCATTCAAATTTTGAATCATTTTAGATATCCTTAAATTTAACATGTTGATTCAAATATCTCTCCAATCGCATATACCTCTTTGTTCTCTTCTCTGCTATAAAGTCCACCGTCTAGGAACAAAAAATGACTTCATCTCCCAAATAACACCATAGTTTGATTATTTTGTCATCGACATGTACTTTCATTTGTAACATAACATTTTTGTAGAGGAAACATATCACCGAAAGAATTTACATGCCCCGCCGCTTTGCGCGGGTACGTTGCTAGTATATATATATATATATATATATATATATATATATATATATATATATATATATATATATATATATATATATATATATATATATATATATATATAAACTCTAGCCGTTTACCCGCACCAAACGACGGGTGTGATAATGGTGGTTGAATGCTGAAAAATAAATTAAACCCTACAAATGAAAACGTCAGCGATATATATGCAAGATTTGTGAATATAAATTGCAAAATTTTGGGAAATACGGAGATAAAGAATGAACTGGGTCAAAATAGCCTAAGAATAGGAGATAAGAGATTTGACATTTTCAACTGTTGATTATATGTACTCTAATCTTTTTGTAATGCATAAATTGATTGTACAAATGCATTGTATGTTTGTACGACTTAAAATTCAACATTTGACCAAAATTGCTTTATAAGGTAATTAAGATTTCAATCTAGGATTTGAAGTGAAGGGACCTACGAGACTGATTAGACTCATAAGTCATAATAAGTGAGTTGCTGTAGCTATTAGTTTAAAGTCTTGGAAAGGAATCTTATTTGTCACTAGTGGGTACCGGTATTTAATCCGATGTTAAATATTGTTCGATCAAATTGTTAAACTTGTCCAAAGCAACATAGATACTTTGGAAATATAAGGACTTGTTTATTACGAATTTAAGGTGACTAGCAAAGAACTCATTTGTTATCTTAAGATGACATACCATGATGAGCTGTATTTGATTGAAAATAACTGAAATGATAATGATATCAATGACTAATCAGACAATTATTTAAATTGTCTGTCTTCCTCGTCACTGAAAACATAGCGTTATAATTTATAAAATTTGTCTAGTTTCATACAACAAACGCAAGTTTAGAAGTACATAGTACTTTTATATACGTGGTTAATGTGGTTGCATTTCTTATTGTTTCATGTCTAATAATTGATGGAAAAAGGTTCTTTGGGTCTCTTTACGACTAATATGTTATCGCTTTAGTCGAGGATGGGGGATCACTTTATCGGAAGGAAGAACTATCGCAAAAAACTTTGAAATTGACAAGCATTTTAAAATTGAATAGAGTCGATGTGAATGAATCATCCTTCCAATATAAGGTATAAGTAATGCAGATAAATAAATAAAAAACCATGCGTCTTAAAGAAACTTAAAGACTAAGCAAAAGGAGCATATTAAATAAACATTATTATGGACATGGATATGGATTTGGTAGGTTATATTTGTAAATGTGTTTAACTAACGATACATTTGTTTACTTAATAATTGTGTTTATTATTTAATAGGAAAAAAAAGTAAAAGTTTATTCTCTAAAGAACTACGCTCACACGTTTTTCACGTCTTTCCTCCATAAATCTCTTCTTCGTCTTTCTAGACGATCGTCTTGTGACTTTGTCTTTGCCTAATCATTTGTCACTTCGTAATGGTTGCCTCGCCATTTTCAGCAAGGGCTTACTAAATTAAAAGCGCAAGAATTGGATGTTGTGGGTGTAACGCTTCTTCTATCTAGTAATCGTTGGCAGGGCCGGTTCATTGCTTTTTAATGCCTAAAGCAACGAGATTCTAAACTAATGCATTTATTTATTTAAAAAAATAGCAAAAATGAAATAAATTTTATAGTCAAACCAAAACAAGGTTATATAAAAAAAAAGCATACATAAAATTCATCTAAAACGATGTCGCCTTCTATTTTTTGAAGCAAAAACATCTATTATTTTATCATAATCAAGACTCTGTGTCTCCGTGGGAATTAACTTTCAATACTCAAAATTACTAATCCATTTAATCTTTCTTGAGTCATGATACTTCGAAGATATGACTTCACTAACTTCAATTTCAAAAAACTTCTTTCCGCGAAAGCAACCATGACCGGTACCGTCAACAAAATTTTATATGCTACCAACACATTGGGAAGGAGGTCCATCTCCTTTGCAAACTCCATAATTTGAATAGTTGTCCAAGGAAGTTCACATTTATATGCTTCATCCAACAACATTTCCTGCAAAACTTGTTACTCAATAAATAAATATTTTCCATCAATATCAAGTTCCTCACCATTTGTCAAACTAGTTTCAAGTTTCTCACAACATTTTTTTAATTCATCGTCAAGTAAAGATTTTAACTTTGAACCATGAAACAAAAATCCAAAAATGGATTCAAAATGTTGCATTTGCTCAAATCTACTTCTCAATTGACTTAGAGTCATATCTACTATAACAATAAAATAATCAGTTCTAAATTTTTCTTGACATGATTGTTGTTCTCTTTTGGTATTTGAAACTTCATCAAATTGTTTTTTTTCTACTATAAAGACGTTTGATAGGAAATTTTGGTTCAAGTCTAATATTTTCTGATGTCTTTAGCCTCATTAATAACAGAGTCAAACCTATTTTTCCTATATTTTTCAAAATAATTAACTAATTCCTCTAAATTTTTTTGTTGCAACATCAAAAATCATATCTTTGAATTGTAATTTTTTACTTACCAAATTAATTCTAAATAAAATTTCATGTCATATCACTAAACTTAAAATAAATTCAAAATTAGAAAATTCATCATCTACTAATGATTTCGCATCTCTACAAATTTTACCATTATCACTCACTTAAGCTAATTTTGTTAATGCTTCTTTTATTTGAAAAAGTTGAGTTTTTTATTGCTTTAACACTTTTAATGTGACTTTTCCAACGAGTAGTAGTCTAGTAGACAATGATTTTAGGGTTAACTCATCTACATGCTCAAGTAAAACACTCCATCTATGTGAGGAGCTAGAAAAACATTATATATTGTTTGACAAGTACCAAAAAAAGTTTTAGCTTTATGACAAAAAGTTTGTCATATCACACAAAACTAAATTTAAACTATAACATCCACAAGACATATAAAAAGCTCTTGAGTTTACATCAAGCAATCTTTTTTGTACATGTTGATGTTTGCCTTTCATATTTGCTCCATTATCATATCCTTGTCCTCGAATACAATTAATATCCAAGTCAAGAGATTTTAAAGCATTTTGTAAAACATTAAAAAGCCTAAACCGGATGTATCTTCTACCATTAAAAACTCTAAAAAAAACTCTTCTACTTTTATTGGAACACTTGCAACATCAACACATCTAATAATCAAAGTACGACTTTCATTCGGAGTGCAATAAAAAATTAACGAAAAATATTTTGATTTTTTTTATTTTTCTAATAATTTCACTTTTTACTTCGGATGCCAACAATTCAATTAATTCATTTTAAATTTTATGACTAAGGTAATGAAAGTGACTTTTTTTTTTATCTTGAATAAGTTGAAAATGATGTTTCATTATTGGATCAAACTCAGCAATCATTTGAAGTACACCTAAAAAGTTATCATTAGATTTCTCATATATTTTATTATTAATTCCACGAAAAGTCAAATTATATTCAGCTAAGCATTTTACAACAACAATAATTCTTACCAAAACTTCTTCCCAATGTTGAGTATCTTTTTTTATTCTTTCTTGTAACTCTTTATCAATTGTTTCATTTTTCCTTAACCTAAGTCGTGTTTGTGTCCAAGTTTTTAAATTAATCATGTGTTCAAAACTATGTTTATGTTCATTTAATTTTTCACTAAGATGTTTCCAATCATTAATTCCTTCAGTTGCCAAACTTCTAGATCGAGTTGTTTTAAATAACTTACAACAAAAATAAAACACTTTATCAGGTTCTTTTGAATACACCAACCACTTTCTATCATAAGAGTTACCATTCCTAAATTTATGAACATAAAATTCACAAGAAAAATGTCTACCTAATGCATCTTTTGGAAAAAAAATGTTACTTTCAATTTCCCTAATAGGCCATTTTTCTACAAGCAAATCTTTCATTTTTAAATCTAACTTATCTCATACCCTTGGATCAAAAATATTAATATCACTAGATTTATAAACAAAATCATTATTTTCATGATCATTGGAATTTTCAATAGGTTCATTAGAAGTTTCAGTTGAACCTTTAGAATTAACAACAAAATCATTAGTTTCAACATCATTAGCATTTTCATCATTATTTTCATTTCTAACAAAATACTTATTTAAAGATCCTTGTAGTTTATTAGTAAGATCTTATTCTTTTCATTTCATTTTCTATTTTAAGCACCAGATGGTTGTTTTCTAGGAAACATTTTTAAACTTTACAAAAAAAATTAAAAATCAAAAAGATGTAGTAACAAGAAAGAATGATACAACCTCAGGTTAGCAATCTGTATCCATAACCTGAAGTTAACAATCCGTATCCACAACCTAAACAAAGAATAATATCTTTTAGATTTTCAGAAATTAAATTAAAATATTATTCAGAAATAAAAAACACAATCAGATTATTCGGATTTCAGAAAACCATCACATTTTCA